CAGCGCTGCCCTCGGGGGCCGTGTTGGTGGGGTGCGGCCGCCGTATTATCCATATTAAAAGCCTTTTCCCCCTACCTGTGGCAGGATCACGGCGCTATATCGCCAGTACCGCGTATCTGGAGAAGGACGGTGAGGAGGCGTGTGAGCCCACCGGCCTGTTAGTCAGGGGCATGGGGCACTTGGCGCTAATGCAGCACAAGGCCAGGGGAATATTGGACGCCTGGTTAAAAAATCACACGCCCATGCGCGCAGCATTATATTGATACAAAAATAGCGTTTAGAGGAAGGAGAAATAGGTTCCCTTACCTTTCTGGAGCCTGTGCGATGGCATGCCAGCTGCCAATCCTCCTTTGCCACCTCACCTGACCTTGCCGCACAGTCGGGAGATCCTAATCCACCTTCTTGTTCAGATCTTCCCTCGGGGCTCACTTTTTTGACTGCCTTCCCGCTGCTGATCTCCATCCTGACTCTCTGGCTGTATCAAATTAAAAAGAACTGAGAGGGTGGTAAAAAAAGCGGTAAGAGAGATACACAAAACAAAGTGGCTCAGGCAATCTGTCTGCGCTCCCTGTGCCTGTGACTGCTGACCCTCCTTGTCTTCCTTCCTAGCAGGGCCTGTTGCTGGTCGCTGATGCTTTTAGTGCGGCGTAAGCTTCTTGAGGAAGGGTTTTGTCACCTCTGTGTCTGCAAAGCACCCTGCCAGACATGGGAGGAATGATTCGGTGCCAGTCCCACTGACTTAAGCGGAGTTTAGGTCCAGTTGGACGCTGTATAAAAGGTGAGCAATTTTTTACCGTCGATGCGAGGGAGCAGAGAGCACCAATTTGTAATGAAAGGCTTCCAAGCAAAGTAAAACGTTCTTCTGCAACATAAACAGTGGAAAAAGAAAAAGAAAGAAATGCGCTGCATTGATAGTGTTTCCAAGTTTCACACATCTTTATTAACGAATTTCAAGATCAAGACAATAATTTTGTTATAATTTGCGTGCTGATTACACTTGAAACTGCTAGGTCCACCAAATAGAGTAGTTTGTTTTGTTATTACAATGGTTTATTTCATAATGTTCAGTCAGGTCTAGTTCAGTACATTTTCTAAAGTAATGTGTAAACTTGTTACAGAATGTGAAAAGCCAGCTGGCAAACTCCTTGTTCAAAATACAGATTCCAGGTTTGCCAGGAATCTCTCCTCTTTGATATGTATGGAAACCAGGCCAAACATAATTTCAGTATGTTTTTAGGGCGTTTTCCAATTAACCAAACTATAATAATGCATTTATAGATGATTTGGGGCTGTCTGGATTCAGAAATGGGTTTGATTCTTTACTGCAGAAACATAACATGACACCACACCATCCTGAAATGCAGGATATTATATTTCTTAACAACGTCTTTCCCTTTTTTAAAGATAAAGCAAAATAAATTATCCTGAAACAATGGAATTCACATTTGTCTATATGCACTGATTGATTTAAATTGCATTTTAAATCTTCTCCTTATAGCTAAGAGATAGGAATAGCTGAGGTGGAGGAAGCACTATAGTAAATATGTCAACCACTGAGCTACTAGGATCTTTACCTCGTGCTCTTTGTCACTGCTGATGTATACTAGCTGCTTCAAGTTCAATGTATATACATTACTGAACACACAGTTACTCAAGGTAATATGATGTAAGAATGCTAAAATACCTAGGCTGGTAAGAATATTTTCATATGAGTGCTGAATAAATAATAAAATCATAAAAATGGATTCATGTGTAGAAAAAGTTACAGTGCATTCGCAAACTCATCGTCCTGAAAAGAAGGAAAAGATTGTTTCCAGTTTTCTGGAAAATAAACTAGCTGGGACTGATGTAAATGTGCATCCCTCAGTAACAGGTCTGTATTATTTATTGGATGCCATTGTTTAAAAATATAAGCATTCAAAGCTTGTGTTGCTACATAACACGTTTAAATAGTTTTGAGTTCAAGTCACTTCACATTTCTATAACACTTGAGAGGTTGACCATCTTCCTCCTTTATTTCCTGTAAAGCAAATACAAGTATTTTATTTTGCATTAGTGATACTTACTCCAGATTTAGATCTTCTTGTTGCTGTTCTTCAAATGAATCAACAGATGTGGTTTCTCTTGCTAAACCACATATGAAAATTCTTTTAATTTTTTATGTGTATAGTTTCAAATGGATAATTTGTGACCCATGTATTTTTCTTTTCACATGGTTGGTTTGCCTGTTAGCTTCACTACATCTTGCTGCGTATTCTGACCCTTATCTTTGACCTTCTCTGTCTCTTGACCCCAGCCCTCCTGAGTCCTGACTTCAAGTGCTTGATTAAGTTAGATTTTCCCTGAGCACCTTTCACTTGAACATCAGCCTGTGAATAGCTAACTGTCTATTACGTCTAACTAAATGGGGACCTTTGTATGACCCATTTCTCACGCTGCTTGTAAACTTGTATACCACAGGCAACCCTGCCTTAAAGAGTCTGTAACCTAAAGTCTCTTTCTTTTCTTTTGCTTTAACATTGATGGTCTCTCCTGCCAAAACTCAAAGCACGATGTACCAGCAATCCTCCTTCCAGCCAAAGAAGGCTAGACACAGCTTGCCGTGGTGCCTGTCAACTCCACTCCATGTGTCAGCCTGAGGGAATCAAATGAGAGCAATGAAACGTGTTTTCTACCTCCAGAGTCTGTAGCCTCTGGCACTGACTGGTACAGGAGCAAAGGAGGAGCAGTAGCACAGCTGGTCTGGCTCAAGTCCCATGGTTTTACTCTTAATAGCAAATGTTTCTCATGCAAACTTGTCCTAGCTTATTTTACAACTCATTTAGAAACTGCAATGTTAAAACTACTTTAATTTTGGTACTCATTTCAATCCCTTTTTCAAGTTACAGAGCTGATCCAGCAGTCATTAAAGGGCAGCGTTTTGTTGCTTACAGGGATTTGAATTCAAAGATATCCTGGCTTCATGCCTCAGTAATGGTTCTTGAGCTCGGCAAAAGCATTAACTGTTCTCATTTTAACCTAGTCTGTCCTTCTGATACAATTTCATTCCGAATTGCAGAGAAGCCTATGTAGTTCATCTTTCTAACAGTAAAAGAGGTCATAAAATGAACATGAAATGTGGATAGACAGGTCCAACTCTCAGCCCACCATCCACTTTTTTGTGCATTGTGCGCTATCTCTTAGGGCAAAACACTGTCAAAAGTGACTGCTGCCTTTGAGAACTTCATCTTTTACCCACCCAAGGCCAGACACATACTGCTGAGCTTTCCATAACCAAGGGCTACCGCCCTTTGTGGCAGCCCAGGGTGATCCTGAAACTCTGAAGTGTCTCAGATCAGACCACTTTTGAAATCAGCATCCTTAGCCTTTCTGTCATTCCTCCCTCTCTAAAGTGAGAATAATAAGAGATTCCTAACTGTAGTTTGGTATCTGCTAATCATGAGCTTACTTAGATTATAAAAGCACAAGTTATTTTTTAAAAAGTGTAGAATTCAGGTTCAGAAACAGAACAAAGTATCTCAAATTTGTGTAACTGATGCAAGGGCGACAGTGGCTAACTTCATTTCTCACACTAGAAGAAAAAGGAAAATAGGAAAGCAGGTGTCATTGTGATCTAATTTTGATCTAATGTTTGCCTGGAGAGCACAATGAAACCACAGCTGCTCATCCTTTAGCAAAGAAGCGTACACCCAACTTGTAGCTATAAACAATAGTGCTCTCTGTTTCTGTAGGAAGCACAGGGCATTACTTTGTGATATTTGTGCAGCTCTACACGCTCGGTCATTATTACCAGTCTACATGACTGTTCATAATGTAGAAATAATCTCCTTTCTGTTTTCAAAGGTGCGTAAGATTTACACACTACAGTAGCAAAATTGTGCAATGCTGGCATAAATAATCTGTTATGACAACCCCTCAGGGAGTAACTGCTGTTGGCAGGATGTGTGTAATCCCGGGATGGTCTGATGCATTGGTAACCACGCCGTAATAATGGAAACATGAGCTTGGCCTCGGGTATCTCACGGCTCGGGTTGGAGGGCTCAGCTGTGTTGGCAAGGCGATGCAGTTCAACTTCAAAAGGGATGGAGAAAAGGCTAATAGTCACTGTAGAGGGCCATCTGCTAGATGGCCAAAACTCTCTATGATGTATTAAGAAAAGGTTTTGTAAGAGACATGCTGAACTTTCTGTTAAATGAAACTTTTGTCATTTTTCTTTTAATTTCTTACTTTGCTCTGCGTGCCATCTATAACAATAATGTGCTATTGCGCTATTGGTGCTATATACATACATCAATAACAAATCACACT